GTGAAACAGATCACCAGCCCAGGTGGGATGCATGAGACAAGTGCTCGGGCCTGGTGCACTGGGAAGACCCAGAGGAATCGGGTGGAGAGGGAGGTGGGAGGGGGGATCGGGATGGGGAATACATGTAACTCCATGGCTGATTCATGTCAATGTATGACAAAACCCACTGAAATGTTGTGAAGTAATTAGCCTCCAACTAATAAAAATAAATGAAAAAAAAAAAAAGAAAAAAGCAAGGGGCTACCCTCAACTTTCAGTCCTTCTCAAATGGATGTGACATTTGGATGGGGAATCATTGCTGTTGTTTGGCTGCTAAGTTGTATCCGAATCTTTTGCAACCCCATGGACTGTAGCCCATCAGGCTCCTCTGTCCATGGGATTTCCCAGGCAAGACTACTGGAATGGGTTGCCATTTCCTTCTCCAGGGGATCTTCCCAACCCAGGGACTGAACCCACATCTCCTGCTTGGCAGGCAGTTTCTTCACTTCTGAGCCACCAGGGAAGCCCGGGTTAGGGACTGAGAGCTGGCACATAGAACTGGGATAACTGGCCTGATTCAGACACCGGTCCTTTGAGGAGAGCACTGTGGTCATTCTTGAGGGAATCCTGAGTATAGGGCTTGGTCATGGCCAACAGAAAGCAGGTTCCAATAGGAAAGTCCAGACAGGCATGAAAGAATTGGATTTCTGGCTCTGTCACTTACAAGCTTGACTTCCTCCCTATAGCCCTTCATGTCATCATCTTTATAACAAAGATGACTGTATCCAGACAGACAGCGTGGGAGGCCGCAGAGACACACGACACATAAAGTGCTCGGCACACAGTGGGTGCTGCTACAGTGACAGCTTCCATTACTGCAGACGATGGTAAGACCTGCTGGGAAAATACTGGCCTATCTTCTGTGTCCCGATTGAGTGCACAGTCTTTCCTGTCTCTGAGTGTTGGAGGCCTTGCCAGGAAGGCCTGGCAGCCACCAACTGAATCAGCCCAGGCAGGGACTTGGCCACACGGCGTTCCCGAAGCCGGGCCTGAACCCGTGAGTCACACTCCCTTCTCCATGCGGACACCGCAGCAAATCACTTTTCCCATTGTGAACAACCAGACACGCTCCAGTGTGGTGACAGAAAGTAATTATGAACGTAAATGATCTAACCAGACATGGATTCCACCCAGGTTGAACCTCTGGTTTCCTTTTTTACACAGTCATCACACACTGCCCATGGAGGGGAGCCTTGTGGGGAATTCTGGAGCCATCTGCCCGCGGAACCACAGTCTGGGGTTCAGACTGGGGCATGGCACATCTGGCTTTACTTTGGGCTCTGGTGACACCAGGAACGTGGAAAAACATCAGGGCCTAAGCAGGCGGTGTTCCAGATCCAGGAGCACATGTCTTGCAGGCCATTGTCCTCCTTTCTTCCAAGTCAAGTTCGGAGGTTTCCATTCTGATGGGACACGACGGCAGTGTCATTAGCATTTGGGGCACTCACACCCCTCCCTGTGATGCTCAACACCCAGCACGAAAGGTTACACGTGCCCCAGCCAACGGGCCTCCAGTTATCCTTTTAGTACTTTTGCAATACTGTCCATGGGGTTCTCCAGGCGGGAATCCTGGAATGGGTTGCCATTTCCTCCTCTGCGCCAAGTCTCTTCAGTCATGTCTGACTCTTTGTGACCCCATGGACTGTAGCCCACCAGGCTCCTCTGTCCATAGGATTCTCCAGGCAAGAATACTAAAATGGGTTGCCATTCCCTTNTTACAACCATCAGGGCAACTAAACGATTAAAGTAACACCTGGGAAATCTATTCGAAGCCACGTATTGATATTTCAAAAGAAATAAGAAGATGAGCGTACCAATGAATAAAGAAGTCTAGTGATCTTGGTATTGTGAGAGAATCCTGATATTTGTTGCAAGTAAATACTTTAAATGAGGAACAATATACCTACAGCAGAGCATGAAACCCTAAGTATCTGATTTGATGGTAAAGGTAACCTACGTGTCCTCAACTGAGATCAAGATGTAAAGTGTTTCCAGCCCTCCCTCCGGAAGGCTCTCTGATACCCCTTCCTGGTTAGGCCTCCTTCCTCCCCACCCACTATTCATACTTCCATCATTGTTGATTGGTTTGGCTTTTTATTTTTAGCTTTCTACAAATAGATTTATACAGTAGGTCCTCTTTTTGCCTGGTTTCCTCAACAGAATATCTGAGATTCTTCCAGACTACATTGAAATGGGCAGTATTGTCGGAGCAGTAGTAAACTGCTCTATTGTATTCCACTGGATGGAGAAACTGCATCTATTTATCACTTGACCAAGATGAGTAAGTCATCTAGAAACATTTGTGTGTATGTCTTCTTTGGATATACGCCCTGGGTTTTCGTGGATAATATTCCTAGGGATAGAATTCCTGAGTGATAGGGTTGGTGTGTGATTAGTTTTTAGTAGAAACTGCAAACAGATTTCCAAAATACTTTTACCAATTTATATTCTACCATCATCGCATGAGGGTTCCTTTCCAATCCTTGCCAATATGTGGTTATGTCCCAGCATTTATTCTGTGAGTCCCTTGTGTTTCCTCCACTTTATAAGATAAAGCCTTGTGTCTCTGCAGTGAATCATGTGCCATTTCATGCTTTGTTCTAACTTTGAAAAAAGTTACAAAAAAAGGATGCTGTCATTGGCAGGTCTGTCCCTGAGCAGGGGTGAGGTGTAGAGATGAGGAGTGAAGAAGACAGACTTTAAAGAAAAGGCCCTTCAAACCAGGATGGAACATTGATGGATGTAATCATTTTGGAAAGTGTACAACTAAGTTCTATCTCATGCATGCATCATGCTGGGCTTATTACAGTCCCCAAATCATATTTTGTAAAGAGACCAGTTCAATGACTGGTGCTTTGCCACAGACTTAATGAACTGATGCCTCTACCCTAATTTGCCCGAGTCATCAGATGGCAAATGTTTTATTTAGCTTGACACATCAAATATTCACCGAGTCTCTCCATGGTTTACTCATTTTTTCCTTCCTTCATTCATTCACCAAACAAATATTTATTGAGCATCTGTGGTATGCCAGGAACTGTGTTCAACCTGGGGACATGGCAGGATGTAAACCCAGCACATAGGTGCTGCCCAGAAAGACATGGTATTAAATTAGCAAGCAGAATACCTCTCACAGTGATAAATGGTGGGGGAAGGCGGCATTGTATTATTCATTCATTCAGTCAGCACCTGATGAAGGATTCCTGGGCATTCACATGGCTTGTTTTCTATAGGCTGAGTGTGAGAAAGTGGCAAAGACCATTTAGCTGCTCCTATGAGCTTGTGGTCCAGGAGCTGAGGGGACAGAGACCTACATGCTACAGTCAGAGGTGGCTGCAGTGAAGGATGAAGAGTTAGAGGGTGGAGATTTTAGAGATGGTAGTTCGGTCCCTGTTCCAAGGGACCCCTCAACAGGAACAGCACGGGAGCTCATGCTGCTCCTGTAACCGCTCCCTATACTCTCAAAGGCTTGTCAAGCCCCAGGACGCGAATCTGAGTTCATGGAAAGGCTTGATGGCGCTACCGTGCAGACCACACCGCGTGTCAGGGATGGGACTCACCTTTACACAGGTGGCCCTGTTTACTTACACCCCACCTGATCCTAGACATGGTCATTAATATCATGTTAATAGAAAAACTAAGACTCAAGTCAGTTTCAACACACACACACACACACACACACACACACATGCATTTGAATGTAGAGAACTCAAGCTTTCAATACCAGACACTTCATTACAATGTCTAGGATCTTTGCACTTTCGAATGTGCATGAATTTTCATGGTGAGGTCCCTACAGCAGCAGGAGGGTGCCCCATTGAAATACTCAGGAAAAAACCTTCCACCATAATGATGATGGTAGTGTGATCACAATGAGTCGAACATCACCTACTCGGAGCCAGAAACTGTTCAAAGCCTGACGACGATGAGCTCGGATCCCATTTTGCAGATGAGTTGCCGGAAGTTCAGAGGGGTCCTCGTGCAAAGTGTCTTACAGGTAACGAGCGGGAGAAGGAAGAGTCAGACTTAAACAGGCCCCTGTTTACAGGATTACAGGAGCACCAGGCCCCTGCTCTGAAGCCACTAGGCTGTGTGACCTCCCTAAGAGACTGAAGGCTCATGTGAAGTGGACACGTTGGTGCACGTTCACACCAAGTGTCCGCGTGCCGCAGAGTGCTGAAATTATTCACCGCGTTCTCAGTGAGGCTTGGAAACTCGTTCAGAGTCAGGTATAGTACAAAGCCACATTTCAACTCTGCTCTCTCCCTTTCGTCCCCCCCCACCCCCCACATTCCAGAATAATGAGGTTGTCTCTCTTTTGTGTGATGTCAGGACTTCCCTGCTGGGCTGTGTCCACTCTGATGAGGCCCCTTTGTCCTGGGAAATCAAATGATTTAGTCTCTTTAGAGGCACTAGGCTGGGAGCCCTGGCTCTCACGTGGCCAGTGGACATGACAAGTCAGAGCCGGAGACCCCAGGTCCAGCCCCAGCTCCGTGGTGGGGGTGGGGTGGGGGAGACCTTCTGAAATGCAGGGGTTCTCTGTGAAGCGGGGAATAAATACACAACTTTCTGAAGTTATTTCAGTCGAGCACGCGCAACCCTGGCATTAAATGTGCCCTTTCTTTCAAAGGGATGGTGCCCTTTTTTTTTCAGCTGATTGTGTTCAATGTGGCATCAACCTGCAGAGTGCCTCTAACTTCCCACCGCTCTGTACCTGTAGCAGAGAATGGTCACTTCTTTCAAATATTGAACTTTCTCTGGTTTCATCAGAAGGGACATGAGGTTACTAAGAATAAATATATGCTGAGAAGGGCTATGAATTTCAGGTGTTAAAACACATCATTTTATTTCTTTCTACTGTTCTTTTTTTCCCCCCTCACTGACAATTTGAGAACCACTCGCTCTGGGATTAGGGATGGACCGTTTTCAAGGCTTTCTGGGCACCCCGTGCTCTAGGTTCTAAGAGGCCATGCGCCACTGGAAGAGAGGGGGTCCCAGTGAAGAGGACGGGCTCTGAGCCTCTCAGCCCTTCCCTTTCCTCCCTCCCTCCCCCACCCCCCTTTGCTCTGGCCTGTGAGAGGTGGCTTCTGGTAGCTGCCACAGTGAAAAACAAAATGCAAACCAAACAAATAATTCATTTCCAAGGTTTGCTTACAGAGAGAGGGATCTATTTATGAAACATATATTGCTCAGTTTCAGGGGAAAATCATGTAATCATTGCAAGGGGAAAAGCGTGGAAAGAGCTTTATTTTGCATAAAAATCTCCTTGCTCTATGATTTATGTGGCTGAGACTCAGGCTGGGGGAGCTGGGGCCTTAGTGTCTTATCGAAGGAAGGCGAGATTTAAAATGCAGAGAGAATCCTTGGTCACAACAAAATGCCAGCATTTATTAACCTGGGTTTGGGTGGGGATGTAGGTAGGGGTGGGTCGTGGACAAGATATAAAGATAAAAATGTATTTTGCTTTGGGGGGGATCTTCAAGAATAAAGACTGACCCCAGGGTATGGTCTGCATTACCACTGAAAGTAGACAAATCATTTTCTGTAATTAATATTTGAGGATTCAGCTGGGTCCTCTGAACTTCTACGAGGTGCACGGGCTGGCATCATTGATTTAATTTACCAGTTACCTAGATGCTGAGAAGGAGGGAGCCTTCCTTTCCCCTCTCTGGTTGAGAATGTTTTATTGCACTCAGCTCGTGTTTATCAACTGCCCTCTGGGCATATCTACCACTTAAAAGGCACTGTCTCCTAGGATCTCCAGGAGGGAAGGAAACTAACAAGTCTGGTGCTTGAATTTTTACCACCACATCCTAGAAAGGTAGCTGATAAACTTCTGCTTCAACACTTTGCGAGATGGGGAGATAAAATCCTCCCGAGCAGCCCCTTCTATTGTCAGATAACTGTGGTTGAGATCTCTTACACTGAGCCAAAAATGAGGTCTCTTTTAACTTTCAGTTTGGTCTTTCTTCTGCTCAAATATTACTCATGAGATTTAACCCCTCTGGGTATGAGGGCGATGAAGTGCATGTGATTTGGGGGCAGCCTCATCAGAATTCACATCCTAGCTCCATCCTGGATATAGGATATTGTGCAAATTACTTCCTCATTTGAAATATGAAAATACTAATTAATGACAATCTGTATCAATCAGGGCATGTTTTGCTTGCTGCAGTAACAAACAGCTCCAAAAGTCTCAGGAGCTTTAAATAACAAAGTTTCCATTCTTGCTCATGCTTGCTGTGGGTAGGACCAGGGTCTTACCTGTCCTGTCTTCACCCAGTGATCCAGCTGATGGGTCTATATTGACATGTGCTTCCCCCTAGAACTTTTATGTATCATTTGCATGCACTTCACTGGCCAAGGAACATGACATGGCTATGCTCAATTTTAAAATTCAGTTCTAACATGTCCCTAGAAGGTGGAGAGTTGACAAATTTGGTGAACCTGGCAAGCCCCCATCCCCTCCCTGCAGACTCACAGATTTAAGCTTAGCATGTGATGTATGTTTTGCAGAATGCCTGGAACTTGCCAAGTTTCATTCCCCTGTAGTTGGCAAATCACTGAAGGTACTCTTTGGTTTAGACATTCTCAGCTCCTTCTGCTGTTCCTCATGCTACATTACCTTAAATCTTTTTACATCCAGATTTGTATCCCCTAAAAATCCTATCCAAATGACCCTATGACAGTGAGCTCTACTGGACACAAAAAGCAATATTCTAGCTAAGAATTCAGAGAACAATCTCCTTCCTTCTGGATAAGGCATCCTAAAATTTTATTTTTGTTCACTTTTTGGCAATCATGGTGCACTGTTAAATCTGCTGTCAGTTGAACACCCTCATGTACTTTCCTGGGAAGCTGTTTTTCCCTAAACCCATCCCTGCGTCATTAGCTTTTGAGTCACAGAGGAGTTTCACATCGTTCCCCATTAAATCAAACAGCATCTGTTGGATTTGGCCCATCCTTCCAACGCACTTGTAATTGCTTCAGATCAAAATCTTTCTCGTCTCAGGTGCAGACAAATGCTACAGAACGGGAGAGGTGTAAAAGCACCTGTCCCAACTAGAGATTCCAATGAATGGCCAAGCCTTGGAAACAATGGCCTCATCATTTGCAGGACATCTTTTTAACTTATTTTTTAGCAGCTTCATGGAGATGCAATTGATGTACAATAAGCTGCATATATTTACAGTGCACAATTTGATATCTTGACACTTGTGCACACCTACAAAACCTCTACCATTATCAAGACACTATCCATCACCCCCAAAACTTTCCCTGAGTTCCTTTCTAATCCTTCCTTCCTGCCTAGGAGGCATCTTTCAAGCACTCACTCCAACTATCCATATCTGTAAGAACTGGCGCACTGCTGAGCACAAACCATATAATTAGGGCATGTTTGCTGGAGTCCTAATGGGGTGTCCAGAAGGTTCACTTGCACACTGCTCTGCCTGCACACCATCACCCAAGGTCAGTCCTTACACAGAAGTTGTGACCTCGTGAATGAGCCTCACCCATCAGGCCACAGATGATTAGACAAGCCAAGAAAGGGTCTCACACCCAAACGTGGCCTGTGCGATAGCCAGGTCAGAGAGCTGTGCTCAGATAAGACAGCAGTGCCGGGGTGAACCAATCCAGCCCTTTTTGGGGAAAGGTGGACAGAGTCAGCACATGCAAAAGTGAGGACACACATGGGATCATGCCCCTGCCCCCCACATACATTCAGGTCATTTGATAGGTACTGTCTGAGAGCTTACTATGGAGTAGACATTATTCTAAGCATTTAGCAGTGGAAAAATCTAACAAGAGTCTGGGAGAATGGTCTATTAATGTAGATCAAGAGTTGGGTGATTCAGAGATGAATCAAGAGGGGAGAAAAGAGGAGGAGAAAGGCAAGGGGTTGGAAAGACCTGTTATTTTGGGGGCAACTTCAGAGGTGCCTTACAAGGTGAACCCTCTCCGCTTCACTACCTGGTACCCTTTCGATGTGTTTTGGTTTGGGCAAAAAGTGTGCTGTCTCATGTCCTCTTTTCCATTTGAACTTTTCCTGCCTATGCAGCAAGTGGAGCGAGTGTTCTAGAAATGCACCTGGAAGACAAATTCTCATCAATTAGTTACTAACTGCCGTCTGGATGCAGAAGGTGTGATCCTGAAATGTGGAGACATCGCTGTTTCTTGTACATCCAGTGAGGTAACCAACCTCGCCTGGTGTCACCAAGGAACTCCCCTCTCAGAGGGACTGTCTTCTTGGTGAGAGAGTAAAGTGCAAAAGATTCGGAGAGATCCAAATTCTATCGACCCATGCTGCATAAGCCCTGCATAATTCAGCTTGGAGAACTAATGTATGATGCATGCTATCACCATCAAACTTGTGCTGCAAATAATTCATGCTTGCAACTTTTAAAAGATATATTATTAACATTATCGCCAGCAGAATTGGACTGGCTGAATTCTTGAAGGTGGATGGAAACCATCACTCCAGTGTTCAAGATTCTCTTTAAGTGTTTAAGTGTTTCAGTCTCTGGGAGGGGAGGCAAAACAATAAGGAAAATTTGCTCCTTAACATCAAGTAAGCCTCATTTCTTTCTTTCCAATTTGACTAAAATGTGTTTTGAAAAACCTTTGAGCTGCCGTTCGAAATGGGCAGCAATCCTGTTTACAAATAATTCTTTGATGAGGCCAGCATGGGTTTGAAATCAGAAACAAAGCAACAACTTCTTCACTGCCTTCCTGGGAACTTTGGGCAAATGATATGTCATGCCTGGTCAATTACATAAATTATCAATGATATTTTTGTTGAGTCACCCCAGGCTTTGAAAGATCCACTAACCCCAGAATACGGTGTTCACAGAACCCTAGTATTAACTTGATGAATGGGGTGGTGTCTTCTGAGATGACACCGCCTGACATCCTGTAGCTATTGTAAAGTCTAAGTTCATTAGAGCACTCGGCTCAGCAGTAAGCGCTCTGCCACAGGAAGTACAAGTGGCAGTGATAAATTGACCCTGTAAAGTGATCACAGAGCTACTGAGCGCAGCCCCATGCATGCATTCCATTTCTCAGAGGCCAGTTAAGAAAATGCCCCGATTCACTGGAGGGTTTAAAACAAGTGATCTTGGCTCTGGGGCTGTGGAGTCAAGCTCATCAGGTGAAGGTGGAGCGGGCTCACTTAGCTCCACTGATGCACAGTCACCTTCTCAAAAAGAAAACCCGATTTGTTCCCTGTGACCTCAGGTTCCCAGCGGACGGCTGGAGAGGAAAGCCTTTGGCAAGAGCCTTTGGCTCCAGATGCTTTTCTGGAAAAAGAATGTCTATAAGTAGCTCTTGAAATGTGTCCGTGTGTCCTGGTTCCCTCAAAGGCCCCTGGAAGATCTTCTCTGGGCAAGGCACCCTGGCCCCAATGTTGTTAAGCTGCTGATTCATTTTTGAAGTAAAGTATGTACAGTATAAACAAAGGCCAAAGGCTGTCCTTCTGATGCTACTCATTAAAAAAAAAAAAAAAACTATTCAACAAACAACTGCAAGATTTGCTGGTGATGGTAGCTATCCTTTTTAGAAGACAAAAAACCTATTAATTTTGGGTCTTAACAGTGAATATTTCTAGGAGGCTGTGAAAATGCCCTATCCTGTTAGAAACATTTTATTGAGTCCCTACTGTATTTTGGACACAGTGCTGGGGAAACAAAGATGCATAAAATAACATCCTCATTCTTGAGGAAGACTCCCACCGGCTATGGGGGAAGCCAGGCTCATCAACCATCATGGTACAACCTGTAAGGGAGCCCACCCAGGTGAGCTGGGAAAAGCATACCAAGATGGGAGGTCTATATATGGGCTCTGCAGGTATGCCGGGGGGACACCAGGCGAGGAAAAATGGAAAGGGTACTGGGGTAGAGAGAACAGCAGGTTCAAAGGCGCGTGGGAGAGCGTGAGTGTGGCAAGTCCAGCCACCCGCGGGAAGAGCTATGACATGGAAACAGAGGACTCAGCAGGGAAGGAAGGGGGGGTCTGTCTGCTGAGCCGTGGGGAAGCCGGGGAGGATTTGTGCAGGAAAACCACGTGATCCTGCGTGTGATGAGCACTAGAGCAGCCGAGGCGAGCGGCCAGGGGAGGCTGCCGTGGGAGAGGAGAAGGACGGGAGAGAACGGGAAAGGGCGCAAGCAGCGAGCCGGGGGGTTAGAGAAGCAGGAGGATCAGGGAGGCACTGCAGCAGGAGACGCCATTCATGCAATCCCCTTAACATGCATCTTTTCGTTCCAGGCCTCCCACCCAGCTTTTGGAGACAGGACACATGAGCCACGGTCTGTGTGGTTATCTATCTGTCCGCAGCTCACCCCTTGCTTCTTGAGGGGGGTCCCTGCCTGATTTGCTCACTGTGCTGGAGCCTCGCTAGGTGCCTATCACACATCGTCACCCAAGCACCTGCCCCGTCTCTCCTGGTCTTGATCACAACCGGGCTATTACGTGGACGGTCTTCCCTTCCTGCACCTAACACTCATCAGCAGGCACAGACTGCGGTGTTGTCTTGTGGGACCCCGTGTTCACCAACGACATCGTTTAAGCGCTGGATTGGACGTCAGGCAAACGGATGCATGAACAAAAGGGCACCCGGGATAACAAAGAGCCACAGACAGGCTCAAAGTCAGGCTGGAACAGCTGAACAAGCGCGCTGACGGAAGCGTGGACCGACGAGGTGAGGATGGTCAACATCGCCTTTCCGAGTGAGACAGAGCTGGAGCTGAGTCGGGAGTCATTCCCGCGGGGACTCCGACCCCGGCGACGGACTCCTCCTCATCCTGGGCACGCTTCTCCTCCATCTGGAGAGGACTAGGTCTCCTCCCTACACGGAAGCACGAGAGAGGCCGCCCCAGCCCAGGACACCGATGGAGCCCCCCAAGGAGGATGTGTAAGGCGTCTGGGCCGCCTCCCACCTTGGGCGGTGGAGCCGGGAGAAGGTGCTGCTTCCGGGACAACGGTGTGCTCTGACGCGGAGGCTGGGAAGGCTGAGGCGGGAGAGGGGGAGGCCGACGAAATGGAAACACATTCGCTGGTAGCCAGAGACCCCCTGATCGGCCCCCGGAGGCAGCCTCTGCAGAGCATCCAAGGACACCGCGAGTGTCCGCTATTTCTTTTCTCTTCCCCTCTCTCTCTGGTACGCGGAGAGCCCACAAGAAGAAAAGACATCTCCTTGGCTCAAGCCAGAAATACTGAACTTAAGATGAGAGATTCTCAAATTGTTAAACTTAGGGGAAGTTTAAACATATTAAGTCGTTTATCTTCTTAACAAAAGAATTACACGTATGCTCAAGGAATGAGGTGCTCTGGGGTGAGTGGGTACCCAGCGGATGCAACACAGATCCACTGACGTTTACCCCTCTTCATCTTTCAGGTTTCAGCTTAGTTAGTTGTTCCTTCTGGAAATCTTCCCTGGTTCTCCCAAAGTTGGAACAAGGACTATTCTGAAGATCTGATACTGCTGTGCTATATATCATAATTGCTTGCTTAGTTTCCACAACCCCCACCACTACCAACTGGAATATAATCCCCATGAAGATAACACTGCGTGCTTTCATTCATTTAATAAATATACTGAAATTCACAAGCCATTCAGTAAGCGAGGCTCTATGGACATCACGCTGGCCAAGGACGACATGATGCTTTCCCTTGGGGAGCTTACACTCTGGAAATTTTACCATGTCCGTAGTGTTATCCTTAGCCAAACACTCATAATCAGAGCCCCCTACATATTTGTTGAATGAATGAATCACACAGCAAGAGAAGGAGTCTGGGACTAATATTGTTATTTATGGCTCCACAAATACATTTTCTAAAGTTGGACCATAGCCGCATTGAGAATAGCCCATACTGATTTTCAGAGTCCAGATAAATAATTCAATCTGTCTCTGCTCAGACGATTTATCAATGGAAAAAGCAGTTTTAAAAACATTTGCTTTGGGGCTATGGGGCTAGCCCTTTAAATAGAGGCACTGGCAGGCTAAGGAGGCTGCTTAGTTTAACACCAATAAAAAGGATGCAGTCGCTGCACTGTTATGGCCTCTACAGAACTGATTGAACAGAACTATCTGCATTTATAAAGAGAATCAGCTCAAGATATCCCTCTCATGTAGCACAGACTCAGTGAGGTTTGCCTGCTACTCTCCTTCTTTGTTATCAGGCCCTAAGATAACAATGGACCAACGTCCATAACAACGGCAACATGCACCAAGTCCCATATAAGACACTGTTCATCCCCGAGCCTTTATACAGTCGCAGTTCTAGCTGGTCACATGGAAATGGCAGTCCTCTCAGGGTTCTGCGAAGGCATTTCTTTTTATGATAAATGGAAAAGGCACAGCTCTGACAATCATCCCTGGTTGAGAACCATGGTATTATACTAATGCCAGGAACTTGCTACCACTAGATTTCACATAAGAGGAGACAACTAAAAGTAAATGTTTATTTAAGTTCCTGGAGTCAGGCATTCTGTTACTTGCAGACAAAGCCTTTCTCACTATATATTTGTTGTTGTTCAGTTGCTAAGTCATGGCCAACCATTTGCAACCCCAAGGACTGCAGCACACCAGGCTCCCCTGTCCTTCGCTATCTCCTGGAGCTTGCTCAAACTCATGTCCATTGAGTCAGTGATGCCATCCAACCATCTCATTTATATTATATAACCATCTCATATATATATATATATATATATATAAAATAAAATATCATCTCATACATATATATATATACATTTATGATATATACATATGGCTGGTATATGTATACTATTTCACTGTCACCATGAAAACTTATTGAATAACATTGGACTCCACTCATTGCATATCTGGTCTACCTCAAAGTTGATCCTAGCTCCACTCGACGCCTCCTTAGAACTCTTGTATTATGTGTATTCTATTATTATCTACATAAAAACTTAGGAGAGTGCCTGATTCTTAACACTGTTAACTCAGAGACTTCAAATAGTTAGTGGTTAAGAACACTGAACTTGAAGTTAGATGGCTTGGGTTCAACTTCTGGCCCTTAGAAGCAAGGAGAGTATCTTAGCTTCTCTGAGCCTCATTTCTCTTATCTGTAAAATAGGAGTAATTATGGGATCCACCTTCAAGTCTGTTAAAAGAATTAATTATGTTGATCTGAGCAGTGCAGACGTTTTCAGAAGGGAGATGATGCAAAGATGGGGACACAGGGTAGCTGCGTTCCTCATACGGTGTAAATGAAGAAAGAGAAGCAGGATTAAAGATTTGGAAGCAGTGAACTGCAAGCTGTCTCTGGGCACTCTACCTTCACAGAAGTTTTCTCTTTTTCCAGTGAAAGGAATCGTGAAGTCAGTGGAATCGATACCCTTAAATATTGTGCCGCTAACATCAAACCACAGGTTTACACTTCTTATTTTATTTCCAAAATATCTGGGCTCTGTCACACAGCTACAGCCCAGAAATACTGGTAACTGCCTCTGAAGGTCATCAACTGCATTCTTCAGCCTCCAGAGAGAATATCCTTGGGTAGCATGTGGCCATCTATTATGTGATGGAGACATTTCTGAAGCAGAGATGCTCAGAGATGCTTGTCAACAATCCCCTCATTGATTTCTGCCCTGTGCTGGGAGCAAGCACTCCCTTCCATGTAACTCACATTTCTCACGGTGCTCAGGAAGACTACATTCTCATCAACTGTCCTCTCTGAAAACAAATCACAACCCAAGAGAGTTGAGTACCTCAAAACCACATTCACAGCATTAGATAGATTTGGGTCTTCAGGAAACAATTTGTTGTGTTTGTGGAGTTTATATTCTACTACTCTCCACCCAGTGTCTCCATCTTCATTAACGGAGATCTGGTACATCCTCTTTCAAACTTTGATACGGCCCACAGTGAAAGACGCCCGCGGGAATAATACAAACCATTGGTCATGTCTCGAAGAAGTGCTCTCTCTTAAGAGAAGCAAAGTGGTTTTCCTCATCTTTCTCTTTTGCTGGCTCACAGGAATCAGAGTGGAATCTCTGATAGGTAAAGTTTGTAATAATTACAACTTGGGTCCTGCTGTGATTTCGTTACGGTGTGAGCGTTAAAAATGGGACTTCTAAATTTGAATTATTGATCAGTATGTTCACTCAGGCAGCCATTCTCCCCCTCCAACGAGCAGTACATCTTAACTGACAAAGACTCACATTTAAAAAAAATATTAACCAACTCTGGAGTTTCCAAGACAGCCGTGGGCATTTTTTCTCAAGCTGGGAGCTGTCTTCCTAAGGCGTTCTTCATGGAGTGTAGGTGAAGTCCAACATTTTAACAGACCAGCACAGGAGTGGATGGCGTCCCAGGAAGCGGGCCTTTCTCGGGAGGTCTTCACAGTACGTCATGAATGTGATGTGCACATAAGTCACGTGGGGACGCTGTTAAAGTACAGACTGGGACTCAGCCGGTCTGGGGTGGAGCCAGAGACTCTGCATTTCTAGCAACCCTCTGCAGATGCTGATGCTGCTGGGCCACGGTGAATTTTTTGAGGAAGATTCTAGAACCTCTGATGTGGTAAATAGACCTAATACAGGCCTGACTCTGCCAGTGTGCTTATTTACGTCCTCCTAGATCCTGCAAACTCTCCATTCCCTGAGTGGCAGATCAGGACGCCTGCACCCTGTGCTAGACTGTCCTCAAGAACTGTGGTCCAGGGAGAAGGTTATCTCAGGGGAACCTGGCAGTGACAATTGTGTACACTGCTGATGGTTCCAAGAGATTAACCACACCACGACCTCTATGAAGTGAGACCACAGC